TGTGTGTGTGTGTGTGTGTGTGTGAGTGTGAGTGTGAGTGTGAGTGTGAGTGTGAGTGTGAGTGTGAGCGGTAGTGTGTGTGTGTGTGTGTGTGTGAGTGTGAGTGTGAGCGGTAGTGTGTGTGTGTGTGTGTGTGTGTGTTGAATACTTGATTCTGATTGTTAATTCACATTTGAGTGACTTGCTGTCGTGATTTGACTCCAGGATCTGCCGCTGCTGAAGATCGAGAGTTTCGTGGTGCAGGACTGCGTCACTCGCAGGCAGCATTACTTCAGAAAGTGGCGTGACGTGACGTTTGCCATGCGTGAGTTTGACATGACGGAGATCACGGCTGAAGCGTGTCGGCCGAGAGACTGAGAACGCCAAGCACAGCAACAGCTGAAGTTTAGCAGACACATTCCTCGTGTGTGTGTGTCTATAAAATATAATCGAAACATGACTTAAATCTTAAATTCTAATTCCTGGTATTTTTTAATTTGATGAACTGTGTTTGTGTAATCCAGATGATATGTAGTCTTAACAGCCCGACACTGGACGAGCACCACACGCACAAACAGATAATAATCGTTAATCACATTTAATCTCATTATTTATCTGGAACTTTACTGCAAGTGACACCTTTATTGCTTTTTATTGTATTTTAACTTGGGCATGGTGGCTTTTACTGGTAAATCCAACTGATTAATTAGACATGACTATGTAAGCTATCTTTAGATTACGTGTGTAATGTCTGATTTGTTAATGGAATTTTGAATATTAAAATAATGGAACTATTTGGTTTGAATTTATCTGATACATCTGATGTCCACTTTTTTTGTTTGTTGAAGACAATTGAAATGGAATTAATAATGAAAATAAAATAAAACTCAAAATAAGAACATTTAAATGTTGTGAATATTAATATTTTACGAATCTAAAATATATATATATTTTTTTAATGTTAAGAAAAAGCATTTTTTTAGGAACATTTTTGCATTGTAATATAATTTTCATGGCAATTAAGCACTTTTTTTTATTGCTGTACTTTCAAAAATCTAATTGTCATCGCAGAAATGCATATATATATATATATATTTTATTGCATTATGCATTATGGTAGTATTTGTGAAATATAACTGAAATATGAAAATCATCATATTACAATAATTCACAAACACTAGAAATATAAAAAAAAACTTAAAAGTAAAACATCTGAATATGCCACTTGGGAACTTGGGAAGAAAATGTGCTTAATTGCTTTGAATATAATTCACGATAAAAATAAAGGCCCTAAAAATAGGATAATTTTCTTATATTTCTCTTGATAAATGATTTGCCCGGTGAGGTGGAAAATCATTCAATTAAGACAATTAATGGCAGTCTATAAAGCCTTAAGTTAATGATGCTTGAAATCCCAGCCAGCGTTCTCTTGCATCCAGAGCAGAAGCTGGGTGTTTGAGGAAGAACAGCAGCGTTCATCAAAGCACGAGCCGTCAGTGTCGCTCTGCTGCTGTGTTTGTGCTCTTACTAGTCCTGTGAATTTAGGACAGGTTTACAGGCAACAACCCGTGAAAACCAGATCTCATTACAGTTACAGCACAGTGCAAGTCCGTGCATGGAAATATTCATACCTTTTCAGTGTGTATATATATAGAGAGAGAGAGTGTGTGTGTGTGTGTGTGTGTGTGTGAGTGAGTACATGTGTGTG